AAAAACCCGTCTACCCTTCAAAGTCTATTTCAAATGACATTTTCTCAAATGTATTATTATTCACTTAACCAAAGCAACTTTTCCATCTCCAAATTTTTATTTAACTGTCTTTGTATCTTTCTTAAGACATTTGTCACAAGCTGCTTTATGTTATACTTACTTGTGTACTTATCTGTTCTCTCCTCCCAGATTGTAAATTCTTTGAAAGCAGGGAATAGATATTAATCAACTTTGAATTAATCAAGGGGATAATAATATATTGCATTAAATATTTGTTGGATAAATAATATTTTTAAAATTATGAGTTTTATTATTTGTAAAAACAACACCTGGTACACCAAATTAAATAAAGGCAACTCCAAGGTGCATGACAGCATCATACTATATTTACAGACACAAAAGAAATTTAGGGGAAGGGAGAAGTCTATAGAGGTTAAAACTCAGTGTGAGAGACATCTTAGCAAGCTCATTGAGGAGATGGGTTAAGATGTAATGTAGAGGGGCAGCCCGGGTGGCTCAGTGGTTTAGCGCCGCCTTCAGCCCAAGACGTGATCCTGGAGACCTGGGATCGAGTCCCATGTTGGGCTCCCTACCAGGAGCCTGCTTCTCCCTCTGCCTGTGTCTCTGCCTCTCTCTGTGTGTGTGTGTGTGTGTCTTTCATGAATAAATAAATAAAATCTTAAAAAAATATATGTAATGTAGAATAGTGCTATCTATGCCCTGGCTATTATAAATAATGCTAAAATTAGCATAGGAGTGCACATATCTTTTCAAGTTAGTCTTTTTTTCCCTTGGGTAAATATCCAATAGCAGAATTACTAGATCATGTGAAATTTCTATTTTTAATTTTTGAGGAAACTCCATACTGTTTTCCACAGTACTAATTTACATTACAACCAAGGGTTGCTTTTTCTCCATATCCTTGCCAACACTCGCTTCTTATCTTTTTTATTTTAGCCATCCTAACAGGTGTAGAGTGATATCTCATTGTGGTTTTGATTTGCATGTCCTGGTAATTACTGATGTTGAGCAGCATCTTTTCACATGTCTGTGGGCCATCTGTATGTCTTCTCTGGAAATATGTCTATTCAGATCCTCTGCTTATTTGTTAATTGGATTCATTTTTTTGATGTGTTATATATGATTTTTGTATATATCGGAAATCAACACCTTATTTGATATATCATTTGCAAATATCCTCTTCCATTCAATAGGTTGTCTTTTTATTTTGCTGATGGTTTTCTTCATTGTGCAGAAGATTTTTATTTTGATACAGTCCCAATAGCTTATTTTTGCTTTTGTTTCCCTTGGCTTAGGAGACCTAAGTCTGACCTGGCTAATCTCCGAGAAATTACTGCCTGTATTCTCTTCTAGGGGTTTCATAGTTTCAGGTTTCACATATAAGTCTTTAATTCATTTTGGGTTTATTTTTCTGTATGGTGTAAGAAAGTATTCCAGTTCCACTCTTTTGTATGTAGCTGTCCAGTTTTCCCAACACCATTTATCAGGGAGACTGCCTTTTCCTTTTCCTTATTGTATATTCTTCCCTCCTTTGTCACAGATGAATTGACAATGTAAATGTGAGTTTATTTCTGGGTTCTCTATACTGTTCTATTGATCTATGTGTCTATTTTTGTGCCAATATTATGTTTTTTTGATTAGTACCACTTTCTAGTATATCTTAAAATCTGGAATTGTGATTACCTCCAGCTTCGTTCTTTCTCAAGATTGCTTTGGCTATTTAGGGTCTTCTTTCAGCATTCTGATAGGGATTGCATTGAATCTGTAGATTAGTCATTTTTTAATGTTTGTTTTTGGGTGTTTTTTTTGTATATTTTTTTTTATTGAAGTTCGATTTGCCACCTAATAGTATAACACCCAGTGCTCACCCCATCAAGTGTAGATTGGCCATTTTGATAATTCTTCTAATCCATAAGCATGGAATATCTTTCCATTTGTCTGTGTTGTCTAGAATTTCTTTGATCAATGTTTTGTAGTTTTCAGAGTACAGATCTTTCACTTCTTTGGTTAAGTTTATTCTGAGGTATTTTATTCTTTTTGGTGCAGTTATAAATGGTGTGATTTTTAAAGTTTCCCTTTCTGTGACTGCATTGTTACTGTACAGAGATGCTATCAATTTCTGAATATAAATTTTATATCCTGCTACTTTATTGAATTTGTTTATTATTTCTAGTTTTTTTTTTTGGTGGAGTCTTTAGGATTTTCTATGTATAGTATTGTCATCTGCAAATAGTGACAGTTTAACTTCTTTTTCAGTATGGATACCCTTTCTCTCTTCCTTCCTTTCTCCGTTTCTTCCTCCCTCCCTCCTTCCTTCTCTCCCTCCCTTCCTTTCCTCTCTATTTTTCTTTCTTTCTTTCATGTGATTGTTGTGGCTAGGCCTTCCAGTACTTTGTTGAATAAAAGGAGTAAGAGTGGACATCCTTGTCTTGTTCCTGATCTTAGAGGGAAAGCTCTGTTTTTTTCCACTGAGTATGATGTTAGCTGTGGGTTTTTCATATATGGCTTTTATTATGTTGACATATGTTACCTCTACTCTGTTTTGTTGAGAGTTTTTTTTATCACGAATGGATGTTGAATCTTGTCAAATGCTTGGTCTGCATCTATTGAGATCATCATATGATTTTTAACATTCATTTTGTTAATGTGCTGTATGATGATTGATTTGTGAATATTGAACCATCCTTCCATCTAGGAATAAAACTCCCCTGATTGTGGGGAAGATGTTTTTAATCTATTGTTGTATGTAGTTTGTTAATATTTTGTTTATGATTTTTGCATCTTTGTTCATCAGAGATACTAGCCTATAGTTTTCTGTTTTCTTTAATGTCTTTGGTTTTGGTATCAGGCCAACGGTGGCCTTGTAGAATGTATTTAGAAGGTTTCCTTTTTCTTATATTATTTTCAAATAGTTTAAGGAGAATAGGTATTAATTCTTCTTTAAATGTCTGTTTGAATTCACTTGTGAATGCGTCTAGTCTTGGACTTTTATTTTTTGGTAGTTTTATGATTACCAATCCAATTTTATTACTTGTAATCGGTCTGTTCAGATTTTCTTTCTTTCTAGTTCAGTTATGGGAGGTCATATGTTTCTAGGAATTTGTCCATTTCTTCTAGATGGTCCAGTTTTTTGGTACATAATTTTTCATAGTATTCTCTTACAGCCTTTTGTATTTCTGTGGTATTAGTTGTTACTTCTCTCTTATTTCTGATTTCATTTGCTCGGCTCCTCTCTCTTTTTTTGATGGGTCTCACTAAGGGTTTTTCAGGTTTGTTTATCTTTTCAAAAAACCAGATCTTGGTTTCATTGATTTTTTCTATTTTTTTAATTGATACCTCATTTATTTCTGCTCTTTTTATTATTTCTCTTTTCCTGCTCACATTGGGATTTGTTCTTCTTTTTTCTAGTTCCTTTAGGTACAAGGTTAAATTGTTTAAATGTTTTCTTATTTCTTGATATAGGCCTATATTGCTATATATTCCCTCTTAGAATTGTTTTTTTCTGTGTCTCAATGATTTTGGATCACAGTGTTTTCACTTTCACTTGTCTCCATGTATTTTTTTTTTCATGTAAGCACCAAGAAATTTGGGATTTTTAATATTTCAGATGATATGATTTACTGAGTACAAAGAGTATGATTTTTCTTCGTGAATTTGTGTTTATATACAAATAGAAAGGATACAAGATAGGCTCCTTTTAAAAGCCAAAGATTCAAAATCTGTGAATGACTTTTATCATATTTCCAATTTCTGGATCTAGCAAGGGACCCTATGGTAAAAGATCCGTGTGTGATAAATAACATAGTACAGTCCTATCTGAATATCACTTCTTATTCATCTTGCCTCATTAATATAATTTACACCTCAATTAAAATATTCTATCTGCAAACAATATATTTATCTAAAATATTTTGTAATTCAGATTGCCATTCAGACCACCTTCTCCTCTGCCTCTTTTCTCAAATCATTGTAATTTTATGGTGTACCTCATTAAATTGTTTTTTTTCTCCCTTCAGTGAAACTGTCAACTCAAAGCACCACATTATTACAAACACAGATATAGCATATATTAACATACTAGAAAAAAAGATAATACATATGGATCTATGCTAAATGAGACAATGCAAACCAAAAAACACACAACACCATGCTATGTTCATCTATTCTGAAGCACTACAAGAAGGCCCTGATAGCACCCTGGCTCATGTAAACTGATGTTCCCAGATATCACTAGTGCCCTGTACTCCAACATAATTAAATGTTCTATTAAAGACATTTCCACATTTGTTTGCTTAAAACAATCTACAGCAGCTTTGACTACTAATCTTGAAAATGATGATAACATTATAGTTTCAATCAAGTCATAGATTCTAAGCTAAGTATTTTCTATTATCATCCATTTATTTAATAACACATTCAGGGAGCTAAGCAACATTCAGTTTAAGGGGTTTTTACTTCGCTCTCTTTTGATTGTGAATTTCAGATGTGTCCTTTAGTCATCCTCAGCTTCAGTGAAAGAGGATTCTTCAAGCAACTGATTAAAAGATCTTAATTTAAAAGCAGGCTGACTAAGTGGTCAGCAGCTGAAGAACTCTTGTCTACATACTGCATCCATAATACTCTGTCCTCTCTGGAGGAACTGGATGCCCCTGACCTACCATGAGCGTAACACATTCCATCCCTCAACCCAGAGGCAGCCAGGGTACATTAGAACATGGGTAGAAACTACCTCAAAACTACTTTGGGGGCAAACACCAGATTTCGATTTGTCAGCAAAACCACCATAGTGTGGTTTTCTCAAGAAACAGGCTTTGCATTGAAACACTTGCTTTCTCTTCTCATATCAAGTTAAACTGCTAAAGTAATATCAGAAAGAGCGCAAAAGATAAGCATGTCTTCTCTGAAAGAGGCACTGCATCTGGAATCGGAATTAAGGCTAAATAAATAATGCTGGTTTGTGGTTTAGACAAATGTGCCAATGGTTACGTTAACCAACAGCTTCGCTCTTTGTCCTGTATGCCTGTTTGTGAAGATGCGTCTCTGTCTCCTCCCTGAAGACCAGCACTCCTAGGTGCGAGTGAGAGGCCTCATTCATGGCTTTGGACTGGATGCACACACGGTACTGTTCAGGAGTCAACTCATCAGCACAGCGTTTCTCATGCCAGAGGTGGAAAAGACCAGGAACTGGAGTCTGAATCACAATCAGGTCACCATGTAAGTATTTTCGATAAAGATGAACATCTTCTCCACCCCAACCTTTTACTTCCACGTCAAATCCACGGGGGATCCCTGGGTGGCGCATAGGTTTGGCGTCTGCCTTTGGCCCAGGGCGTGATCCTGGAGACCCGGGATCGAATCCCGCGTCGGGCTCCCAGTGCATGGAGCCTGCTTCTCCCTCTGCCTGTGTCTCTGCCTCTCTCTCTCTCTCTCTCTCTCTCTCTGTGTGTGTGTGACTATGGTCAGGAAATCTGATCGATACTGACAAGTCATTCCAAAGCCAAACTCTCGCCAAAAGCCAGAATCCTTTTTGTGAACTTGGTTTAAGGTGGTGTCTACCAGGTTTCTCCACTGAAAAGTTAGTTCTTTCCATACTCAATTCTTCACATATGACTCACCTAGCTCCACCAGCTGCTGCTCCACAGGTTCTGGTATGTCCTGACTGGCATAAACAATGGCAGGGTTATAAAGACTGTGTGTTTACCACAGGGTAAAACACCTTCTCACCTGGCTCAGCATTTACCCAGCAGCTGTTAAGGAATTTGGCTGAGAAATATATATCAACATCACAGAAAAACATCAAGACCTCTCCTTTGTCCCGAGCTCGGGCACCCACATTTAGTCCTTGTCCACGATTAAATTCTTCATTCAATGAGACCAAAGTGTAATTGTGAAAATTAGACTCACTGGCCAATAGTGACCCACTCAAGAGTGGGCAAAACTCCTTCCCTGGGCTTTTCTCAACTGGATCTGGGAGAAAGCTCTTTCCTCTCTGATGGCAAAGCTGGGAAGACGTGAGCCCAAAGCCGCCAACAGCCATATACCTCACATGTGGAAGAAGCCAATCTTGTGACAGATTCTAGGGTAAACTTGACTTTAGATAGTCCTTCTTTACCAAAATACATCACTGTGAGATGAATTCTCTTGTCCTGATGAATACACACATCCCTGAAGTTCTGCATAAACTGTGCAAATGCTTCAGTTCTTTCAGCAGGTGGCACAATGATATTAATGTTTGATCTAGTAATGTCAATCATCTCGCTCTTCACTTTCATGAGAGGTCCAAAAGGGCAGAAGAGGGTCACATGTCTATATTCCATAAGGTCTGCCTTCTTAAAAAAAGAGTTCATATTGTGTGCCCTTATCTCTCTCGGTGCGATAATAACCTTCTACAAAGTCATTTTCATTAAATATCATTTTCTCTCCAAGGGGACCGTCCTCATCTTCCTGTTCCTCATCTTCATCAGGATTATTAATGACCTCCAAGCCAGCTTCAATAACTTCTACCAATTCATCTCGCTTGTCTTTTCTAACTGGCTTTTCCTCAGGATGGCGAGAGAGACCCATTTCCAACTGGAATACTTTCATTAAAGTAAAACTTTCAAAGGGAATGACTCCATACTCACTAGGTAATTTGGCTCCTATGCTAACTTCAGCTTTGTCAATTTGGGAATGAAGAAACTCTAAAAGATCACTAGGTGTTTGTTCTTTGTTGCCTTGATAGCCTATGCCATTAGGCCCTACATTCTTTCTCTCTTGTAATGATCTCATCTTCTCACTCATTTCTTGTAATTCTTGTTTTAGTTGGGCAATTTGAAGTTTTCGACTGGTAGCCCTGGTTTGATCATGTTCTTCTTGCTCCTGTAGGAGGGCTTGATAATACTCTTTACCATAATTTTCCCCAATAATACCAGGAAGAGGTGCATTTCCATCTGTCTGGGGGGCACATTCCAGAAGGTACAAAAATAATACCAAACTGCAGAGTAAAGCAAGACCCAACAGCAGCCAGTGGGTCCAGGTCTGAAGAATCAGTCCTCTTCTAGGCATTCTTATTAATGTGGACTTGCCTGATGAGATAAGTTCTTTGGTTGTTCATACCTTTAGCAAAAGGTTATCAAAAATTAAAAGCAAAATCAGAATTTCCACTAAAGGTACCAAAACGAACTCTGCTACAGCTTAAAAAATGTCTTCCTTCAGCAGTGATGACTACTTGCAGAAATGAGAAAGAGTGCATACTTCCTGTATTGTTACCATGATATCCAGAATAAAGAAATCTGATCCCTACAGAATCAGATAAAATTCCATTATTTGGGTGATGATTTTTCTAGTTCCTGAAGGGAACTCTTTAGCCAAATCTGATTTCTGCCCAGTGCTCTGAAGGTCAAAGTGTAGAAATTCAATGAAGCGCGGGTGAACGGCGGGAGTAACTAGGACTCTCTTAAGGTAGCCCAATGCCTCCTCATCTAATCGGTGACGCGCATGAATGGATGAACGAGATTCCCACTGTCCCTACCTACCATCCAGCGAAACCACAGCCAAGGGAACGGGCTTGGCGGAATCAGCGGGGAAAGAAGACCCTGTTGAGCTTGACTCTAGTCTGGCACGGTGAAGAGCCCTGAGAGGTGTAGAATAAGTGGGAGGCCCCCGGCGCCCCTCCGTCCCCGCGAGGGGGCGGGGCAGGGGCCGCCGATCCTCCATGTATTTTTTTATTTCTTTTTTGATTATTTAATTGGTCCTTTGGTTGTTCAATATCATTAATTCTACACATTTGGGTTTTTCCCAGCTTTTTTCTTATGATTTATTTTTAATTTCAAACCATTATGATCATAAAAGATGCATGGTATCATTTCAACCTTCTTAAATTTGTAAAGGCTTGTTTTATATCCTAATGTGATCTAGTTTGGAGACTGTTTCATGTGCACAAAATAATATATATTCTATTCTTTTTGGATGGACTGTTCTCTATATATCTGTTCTTTCCTTTTGGTCCAAGTGTCATTCAAAGACATTGTTTCCTTATTTATTTTGTGTCTGAATGTCTGAATGATCTGTCCATTAATGTAAGTAGCATGTTAAAGTCTCCTACTATTATTGTATTGCCATCAATGTTTCTCTTTGTATCTGTTAATATTTGTTTTATGTATTTAAGTGTTCCACTTTTGTGTGTATAGATATTTCCGATTAGTATAGTCTCTTGTTGAGTTGATCCCTTTATCATTATGTGATACCTTTCTTTGTCTCTTGTTATAGTCCTTGTCTTAAAGTCTATTTTATCTGATAGAAGTATTGCTACCCCAGCTTTTTTTTGTTTTCTGCTTTAATTTGCCTCGTGAATATTTTATCATTACTTCACTTTCAGTCTATTTGCATCTTTAGGCTTGAGATGAGTCTTATGTAAGCAGCGTATAGTTGTCTTGTTTGTTTGTTTTTAATACATTCTGCTAGAGAAGAAAAGAAAAATAGGCAGGTTAGAGACCCATCAAATTAACAAATTGCTTCCCTAATGTCACTCTAAATAATGTTTTCAGGATCCATCCTCCCAGGCTTGGCATCTATTCAGACATCCATTCTGAGTTCCTAAAACACTAAATAGCTATAAGACGAGTTTAAATATTAATAAGCTCTCTACCCACACCTACTGTAATTAGTTCCATTTTTTCATCCTCTAATATGCTTTGCCTTGATCAAATCTGCCCAAATTCATAGATTCTTCCTCCCAAATTGTTGTCTGGGTATTTATTCTACAATATGGAGGCTCCTCAAAACGTTAAAGATAGAGCTACTCTATGACCCAGAAATTGCACTACTAGGTATTTATTCAAAGGTTACACATATAGTGATTTGAAGGAACACATGCACCCCAATGTTTGTAGCAGCAAAGTCCACATTAGCCAATAGCCAATATATGGAAAGAGCTCAGATGTCCATTGATAGATAAAAAGATACCACACACACACAGACACACACAGAATGGAGTAATACTGAGCCATCAAAAAGATAGAAAACTTGCCATTTGCAAATGTGGACAGAACTACAGGGTATTATTGTAAGTGAAATAAGTCAGTCAAAGACTTATGTTACGTGAATCCATTTTATTCTTGCTTAAGTCCCACAGATATTTGGGATAAATTTTCCCCTTATTTCCAGCTCATGTGGTACTTTGAGGGTTACTGAAATAACTGAAAGGAGACAAAGACAAATTGGATTAATAAAATCATAGGAGGATAATTGACTTCATATTTCCAGAATATGTGGAGAATAAGATGGCACATTTATCACTTAGCTCCAAAGTACACATTGTGAATAGGCCAATGTGGTAAGGAAATCTTACCTCCCATTACCAAAATTCTTCCTTTAAGAGCCCTAGAAATGAGCAATTTTATTGGAGAGAAGTCAGCATGCCACCACAACGTTTGCTTTTAATTTAAAGAAAAGGTTCCTGGGAGATGTTCCTTTAATAAATAACTCCTGGTGATTTTTTGATCTTTTAATATTCATTCACCCATTAATTCGTTATTCATTTCTTATGCATTCATTAATTTAACAACCATTTGCTGAGTGCCTATTATGTGGCTGGAAATGGGGTAGACCTCTTGCCATTTGGGTGTTCCACCAAGCATCAGCAGATCACCTGAATATCTAATTATAAAGTCTTTCAACAAACTCCAGAAGAAGATGAAAAGCATTCTTTTTTTTATTATTTTTTTATTTACGATAGTCATACAGAGAGAGAGAGAGGCAGAGACACAGGCAGAGGGAGAAGCAGGCTCCATGCACCGGGAGCCTGATGTGGGATTCGATCCCGGGTCTCCAGGATCGCGCCCTGGGCGAAAGGCAGGCGCCAAACCGCTGCGCCACCCAGGGATCCCGATGAAAAGCATTCTAAGACAATATGTGAGCTCAGATAATTGGGGAGAGTAGGGCAGAGAGTATGGTCAGAAGTAGGTCAGAGAGAGTAGGTCACCTTCATCATGCTCAGCTCACCACTTATAAGCGTGCAAGCAACGTAACCTCTTGATGCTCCTTTGAGTATACGGTGAGGACAGTAACAGCTCTACACAAAAAAATACACAAAACAATATTTGTATAGCTCTACTAAGTGTTTCTACATAAGGTGAGACTGCTTATGTCATCACTATTATTAAATATTATGTTAAAAGGGAGATAAAGACTGAAAGAAGGCTATATGATTGCTTGATCCTAGAGAAACACAGGACAGAAAGGAGAATTAGGGTTTTTGGCTGCAGGCCCCTGCCACATGACAGTAAAATCACTAGGAACTCCTCCATTCATATTGAAAGCAGCCTTGACACAAGAACTTCATGTTTAGATGATATGTGCATTCTCAAGACACATTTTAAGTGTTTTAAGAAATGTTCTTGTTAACATCATACTTTTGTGTTTATCATTAATTTAAATAATTTTATTTTTATTTTTTTTAATTTAAATAATTTTAAAAATTAGAACAGTTTTAAATTTAGAGAGAAGTTGCAACGATAGTACAGAGTTTTTACATTATACTGTATATTTGTCAGAGCTAGTGAGCCAATGCTGATATATTATGATTACCTAGGCTCCATGTTTCATTTGGATTTATTTTATTACATTAGATTTCAGCAGTTTTTCCTTAATGAATCAGTTTATCCAAGTTATCTATTTTTGTTTTATTGTCTTGCTAGTTCTTGATTTATTGTCCTTATGCTCTTTATGTTCCCAAGAAGCTTTTTGTAATTGTCCCCAAAACGAACAAGGCACCTTGCGAGATTATTTTCCTTAGAGAAAATGGTGAAATCTGTAATGTAAGCAGTCACAGTGCAGTCTGCTTCCTCTCTTAAGTGAAGAACTCTTTTCTGTCCCTATCAGTCTCTTCCTCTTTCTTCAGGTATGTAGCTTCTCATCTGCAAGTTCTCTCTTGTTCTGACTCTGATACAAGTGTTATCATGGGAATCTGGAGGGTTAAGGCTGTGCATGGGGATAGCAGACCTAAGGTAATCCACTGTGCTGTGGTAGCACTCTCAACCTTGGCTTCAGGTCTAAAGATTATGCTTGCTTCTGTTGCCCACTTAATGCCCCAGTCTTGTGCCATTGTTTGCGCCTTTGAACTGTTGGCAGCTTCCTCATATCTCTATGCCTCTGAAGATGTTGTTTCCTTTGCTGGAATTATGGACCTTCTCCTTGCCTTCAGTACTCAGATTAAGAGTCTTACCTTCTTGGAAGTTGTCTCTGATCCTATCCTTGTAGAGTTTTATTAATTGGTCCTCATGTGAATTCTCATAACATGGTGTGCTTATCTTTAATGAGCACAACACTCACCATATCTATTGCAATTTCCTTCTCACTAATTGGGCTTCCCCATTATTGGATGGCCTTTGTATATGGAGGATCTGGCAGAGTGCCCAGCCAAGAATAACTGCTTGAGCAACCTTTCTTTCTTTCTTTCTTTCTTTCTTTCTTTCTTTCTTTCTTTCTTTCTTTCTTTCCTTTCTTTCTTTCTTCTTTCTTTCTTTCCTTTCTCTTTCTTTCTTTCTTTCTTTCTTTCTTTCCTTTCTTTCTTCTTTCTTTCTTTCCTTTCTCTTTCTTTCTTTCTTTCTTTCTTTCTTTCTTTCTTTCTTTCTTTCTTTCTTTCTTTCTTTCTTCTTTCTTTCTTTCTTTCCAAATTGTGAAGTAATTGACACATAACAATGTGTAAGTTCAAGGTGTAAAAGATGTTAAATTGACACTTATGTATTGCACCGTGATTAGCACCATAACTTTGGCTAACACTTATATCATGGAATTATCATTTCTTTTTTTGTGGTGAGAACATTTAAGATCTAGTCTGTTAGCAGTTTTTAAGTAATCATTGACTAAAATCACTAGGCTATGCGTTAGGTCCTCAGAACTTACTCATCTCCTGGTTGCAGGTTTGCACCCCTTCACAACACCTCCTGAGTTTCCCCACCCATCTCCCTTGATAACCACCATTCTACTCTCTGTTTCTACAAGTTCAGCTTCCTTAGATTCCACATATTAATGAAATCACACATTTGTCTTTCTCTGATCAAATGTGTTTTTGAAGAAAAGAAAGAAGGAAATGAAGAAAAAAGGAACTTAGGAAGGAGGAAAGGAAGGGATGGAGGAAGGAAAGAACAGAAAGCTAATGAAGAGAGAGAAAGAAGCACTGACAGTTTTTCACCTCAAAAAGAATTTGAGCGGACAATTCAGGAAAAACCACACTTTCACAGTTGGCCATTCCTTGTCTAGGCAGCCCCTTTATTTTTAACCTAGAGAGTCAAACAATAACTATTGCGAACAACAATAAAAGGCACTTCTGTGATGC